AGTGACTCTCAGAGGGAGTCAGAGCAGTTCTGGAGATGTTGTTCATGTATTTATGTCCTCATGTAGTGAGACGTCAGAAGCTGAAATCACCGCGAGCGTCGCACGCTTTGTATGTGTAGAAAACAAAACCACGCGTCCCACATTTTCTGCATCGCGGAAATCATAGATAATATTGAGGCGTTTTGCAACTTCAGTGTAACCTTAGTGGATTGTTATTTATTGCAAATTAAGCAACGTCTGCTGCTGCCTTATCTTTGAGAGACAACTGATGCGTGACCACTGAAGCAGCTCCAGTTAGCAAGCGCTTTCGGAGTGAGAGTGAATTCAGCATTGATTGGTCGGACTCGTGACTCCCAACAAATCAGATGGGCAGTGGGCGGAGATTGCTTTAGGCCACAGAGTGGTGAGTTCTGACAGGCTGCATCAGAGCCAAATAGCACGTTTCAAAATGAAGTTATTTTATCGGCGAATCGGTTTTGGAAAATGACCGATACCGATAATCATAAAAATGCTTAATATCGGCACCGATAATTGGCCAGGCCGATAATCGGTCGACCCCTAATCCATATCCACATTTATTAAATTGTTTTTAGATGAGTGTGAGATCAAAGATATAGAAATGAAGATACAGGAGAGTGAGTTGAGGTACCTGAGGAGGAAAATCGCCTCTCTGGCGTCAATGTCCAGCGCAGACTTTGGTCTAAACTCTATCACATTATCTATGATACAAAAACATCACAAAGAAAAGGTCTGACAAAAATCACATTATGGAAATAATGTACTGCTATAAATGAAGAAAGAGAACTATGTACGCCTAAAATCTACGCCTGATGCTGCTAAAAAGAACATTATTTTAAAGAATATCTCTTTGGATTTGAGACTTTAGTCTTTGCAACTTTACAGATCTTCTTTATGCACCAAGAGCTTGTAACACTCCAAAGAGAAAGGAAAAATTGAAATCGCATCATATGACCCCTTTAAGACCCATTTCAGGCCATTTAATAGGCATGTAATTTTTTTGGCATTCTTTTGTATAATTATTTTCCGTTTGATAACACCGTTAACATCTTTAAAACAGGAAGTTTAACGATTTTTTTTTTTCTAAAATTCTACTGTTCTGAATGAAGCCCATTTTGACGGATTAAGTTTCAACATGATGTACAGTACTTGAGTGTTTACGTTGATTCACAGTTACATAAGCTCACTCTTCTGTCATGTATTCCCCTCTGATAATATGCAATGGAGATATTAACCAGCAGCAATCTAATCCTTGAGTGTACGGATGTGTGTGTGATTTAATACTGAATGTAAATATCATTTGTACAGGAGTACACATGTGTACGTGCTTGCCGACCACACATGCACAGCATAAGCATTAAAATCCACAGGCCCTTTGAGCAGTGGGGCAGGACGTGCTGACTCTCATGTCTGCTGCATTACCTAAAGTGAAGGACTTGCTGAGGTTTGGGCTGGCTGGGTCAGCAGGTGCCATCTGTGCTTTCTTGGTTGTCTGAGAGGACACAGGGGCCAAATGCAGGCTGAACACACACACACACACACACACACACACACACACACACAATCAATAAGAGAAGACACTAGACACATTAACAGCATACAGGGCATCTCATTATAAATGTATGGATCATATTTCACCCCCAAAATTAAAAGAAACAAGTATATATTTATTTTGCATAAAGAAAATAATTTTGACTATTTTTTAAAACAATTCAGTATAATATGATCCTCGTCGTATACTCACTATCACAATACAGTAATGTAAATCATCCTGTATGGTGACAATGGTTTCATTTTTCTTTTAATAAAATCACTAAGTGCAGTGCAATATACTTTCAGTGGTATTTTACTGTTTTTAGGTCATCGCTGATAAAAATATCACTGGTATATAAACTACCAGTTAAAAGTTTGGAATAATTCAGATTTTATGTATAAAATACCCCTATGTTGGCAAAGCTGACTTTTCAGCAGCAATTATTGTCTTTAGTCTTCAGTGCCACATGATCCTTCAGAAAACTTTCTAATATGTTGATTTGCTGCTCAACTGTGTGTTCTTTTTTCAGGATTTTATGATGAATAAAAAGTTCAAAAGAACTGCATTTTGTAAATATAAATATAAATGTATAAATATAATTATGAGGTCAAAATAAAAATTCAATGCAGTATCTAGAAAAAAATCTATTGTGATTAAACCAGAAAAAATGCTAAATAAATTAACAAAAACAATTTTTAAAGCTTGGCCTCCTAAACATTAGATCACTCTCACCCAAAGCAGTTATTGTAAATGAAATGACCACAGATAATAGGTTCGAGGTACTCTCCTTGACTGAAATCTGGCTTAAACCAAATGACTATATTGGACTAAATGAGTCCACTCCACCAAGCTACTGTTATAAGCATGAGCCCCGTTGGATTGGTCGAGGCAGTGGTGTTGCAACAACATACAGATATATTCTCAGTGTTACTCAGAAAACAGGACACAGGTTTAACTCATCTGAAGTAGTTCTGCTTAATGTTACACTGTCAGATATATAGATATATATATATATATAAATAATCTCTCCAATCTTTTGCTCTGGCTACCATGTATAGACCGCCAGGACCATACGCTGATTTTCTAAAAGAATTTGTGGATTTCCTATTAGAACAATTGGTTAATATTGATAAAGTGCTACCTGTCGGAGAGTTCAACATTCACGTTGATATGATGCTTTAGGACTTGCATTTACAGACTTAATAAACTTTTCTGAGGTCAAGCAAAACGTCACCGGACCCACTCACTGTTTTTTATCATACACTAGATTTAATTATGTCGCATGGAATTGATCTTACTGATATAGATATTCAACCTCAAATTAATGATGTTACTGATCACTACCTTGTATCGTGCATGCTGCATATTACTAATACTAATAGCTCGGGTAGAACTATTGTTACAACCACTAAAGACAGATTCACAAATAATCTGCCTGATTTGTTTCAACTGCATTGTATACCCATAAATGCACATGAACTAGACTAAATGACTAGCAATATGGGCACTATCTTCTCGAATACATTCGAAACTGTTGCCCCCGTCAAATTAAAAAAGGTAATGTGCCATGGTACAACAGTAATACCCATTCTCTCAAGAAAGAAACTTGCAATCTTAAGCGCAAATTAAAAAAAACTCACTTGGAGGATTTTAGAATTGAATGGAAAACCAGTATGTTCAGCTATAGACAGGCTCTAAAAGCTGCCAGGGCTGAGCATCTCATATTATTATGGCAGTTATTATGCTTCTCATTAAGCAACCACAAGATATCTGTAAAGAATTTCAATGAGGTTTCAGGTCCCATCATAGCACAGAAACTGCACTTGTTAAAATTACAAATGACTTGCTTCTTGCATCAGACCAAGGCTGCATCTCTTTACTAGTTTTACTTGATCTTAGTGCTGCGTTCAACACTATAGATTATGATATACTCATAGATTGATTACAAAACAATATGGGTATTCAGGGACAGGCTTTAAGAAGGTTTAGATTAGGGATGTAACGGTATGAACATTTCTTATCACGATTATAGTGACCAACATGATCACGGTTATCAGTATTATCACGGTATTGTTAAAATGTGCTGGAGATGTTAAAAAAGTACCGACACATAAATCACTTAACAAAATGCCATCGAATCGTTTCTGAAGACAGTCAGAACCTTCAGAGGTACATTCATATAATTAATTCATATACTGTATATATTAATTTGTATAATTCCCTTAGCACTCTTTTAAAACCTCCCAGCTTTTCCGCCCTGTTTTCACTCAAAACGAAACTACTCTGCGTGTTGTGCGCACGTGACACTGTTACTTAAAACTGTGCTTTATGCTGGACAGTATTTATTTATTGCGAGTTGTTCAAATCGCGGTAATCTAATATGGTTTTAATGAGAATTAAAAGATGAAACGGTAATACTAACCGTGGGGAATTTTATCATGATTTATCGTCAAACCGGTAATCATTACATCCCTAGTTTAGATCCTACCTGTCCGACTGTTAACACTTTGTTTATTTAAACGGGAAATCATCTCAATTAATGGCAGTAAAGCATGGAGTGCCACAAGGATCTGTCTTAGGCCTTCTGCTATTTTCAATATACATGTTGCCACTTGGTAATATTATCAGAAAATATTAATTTCCGTTGTTATGCTGATGACACTCAACTAGTACATTTCAACAAGACCAGATGAAACTAATGAATTATCTAAGCTAACAGAGTGTGTTAAAGATGTAAAAGTTTGGATGACCAATAAATGTCTCCAAATAAATTCAGATAAGACAGAGATATTACTTATTGGACCAAGAAACAGTACACAGAATCTCTTCACAATTTGCATCTAGAGGTATGCACTGTTACTTCCTCTACAGTCAAAAACTTGGGTGCTATATTAGACAGCAAATTGTCTTTTGAAAATCATATTTCACATGTAACAAAAACAGCATTCTTCCATTTTAGAAACATCGCCAAGCTATGTGAAGTCCTTACCGGGTCAGGAAAATATGATCATATTACCTCAAATTTACAATCTCTACACTGGCTAGTGGCTACATATTAAGATATGTATCAGTTATAACATATTGCTACTTACTTATAAGGTGCTAAATGGTTTAGCTCATGCCAACCCTGAACCAACATGCAAAACTATCAAATTGTCCTTGCATTACTATAAGTTTAATCACAACTCTTAAACGCTGTTAATAGTGTTCACCATTTCTTTTCGAATACATGTAATTAACTAACTGTATGCATTTCTGCCATAGTCACCACTGATAAACTACTCCTAAATGTACTGTAAACTCCTAAACTTTCATTTTCTGTGAAGCTACTTTGCAACAATGTGTATTGTGAAATTATTATCATTATTATTATTTGTAAAAATGCAACTCTTTACTGTCACTTATGATCAATTTAATATGCCCTTGCTGAACATACATATACACATAATATATAATAATAATAATATATATAATATCTCCACCAAAATTTACTGAACAAGAAAATGTAATGATCATAATCCTTCCAAAATGAAAGTCTTCCTCATTCTTTAGATATGCAGAATACTGGTCACATAACAATGCTCTTTGTTTTGGCCCACTCAGAGCAGCTGACACCAGCTCAGAACACAATCACAGCCCAATGTCAGCACCACCCCACACTCACAGACTTCATCAGATCTGCTGGAGCTTATCAGTTTACTATATTCAACCAATCTGCATTGTCTTAAAACATACATTGCACAAACACAAATTAATGTCCTCATTTCCTGACCTATATTTAAACATGATCAATAACTTCTGCCTCTTCATAGTTAACAACAATAAAATAACAAACATGTGCATAACTGCCCTGGAGTCATAAAACAAATGACACCAAAACAAATGAAACAGACGTGGTGTTCCCAGTGGCGGAAGTGCCAATACCACCAAGAAAGCTTTTTATAACTTGCATTTGTTGTGTTTTCTAGAGTGGGACAAAGGTTTATTGTGTAAGGCATTGTGCTGAACACACAGGCAGTGTATGAAGTGTGCCATAGGGCTGTTTGCCCACTCACTGCATCAACACTAGACTGAGAGCTTCTGTGCACAAGATGATCTATAAAAACATATACAAACAGCAGACTTTTTAAGGGATTTTGGCATGGCATGGGCCACACTGTAACTCTTAACAGAACAAGGTCAGGAGCACCAAAACTGATATTCAGATATTTGTCAAATATACCTGGACATTGGTGAGACATCATCTTGCTCTTTTTCCACAGTGATGTATGTCTCTGAAAATGCTTCCCTCCAGAACGGGTGAGATAATAAAGGGTCCCAGCTTAACCTACAGATGACAGTAATATAGGAGATCCACAGATGAAGCTACAGTGCTAATGTAATGTGACAGGTTCAATGGTGTGGAAGGAATTAATGTTTTCATTGCAGGTCACATTATCCATGGTCTCTGAGCAAAAGTCTGAGACTATGAATTGCATAATTTATTTGGAATTAAAGAGCTGAAAAGATTATTTGGTTTCTATCATTGCACTGTCTAACTCATATTCATAAGTAATGAGTAAAGTGATCATCAACAGTCTCCTGACTACAAGCAAGAAAAATTATTGGATTAACACTTCCTTAACTCTAAGACGAGACTGAGTAAAATAAATGTTTTACCTTTTCACAGGGTCTTTCTGAAGTAAACCCATTACTAGGCTCTCAAACTCTGGACTGGGCTGTGAGAAAGCAGGTTCTAAAAAAGAAAAAGAAAAAAAAGTATGTAATTAAATGTTTAATAAAAGGAACACTTAAAACAGTACAATATCTTTAAGTTGAGGTGTCAGACCTTTTTGTCTTAGGGGTGGAGGACCTTCATTTAAAATGAGATCAACTAGTCCGGTCATACTCTCATAGACAAAGGGTGGTTTTCCTAGGAAACAAAAAAGACAATGAGACAGAGAACTAAAATTCAAAATTAAAAATCAATGAAAGTATTTTGCGAAGGCAAAAGCTGTGGATTAAGATAAAATGAGTAACCTGTGAACATCTCATATAGAATGCAGCCTAAAGCCCACAGGTCACTGCAGACACTGGTGTCTGCTCCTCTCAGCACCTCAGGAGCACAATACACAGGAGAACCTGCCAGAGCAACATCTTATGACAAATCATACAAGCGCACAGTGAACAAGCGCAAACTTACTTCATGTAAGATCTGGATCATATTAGATAGATGACTGATAGAAAGTAATGAATTTAGCTGACCTTTAATTCTGTTCTTGATGTTTTGTGGAGAGATAATATTCTCCTTGCTGTCTCCAGCTCCCATCTCCTCTGCCATCACAAGAGAGAAGAACTCCTCCAGACTTTCTCCTTGAGCTTTGGCCAGGCAGAAATTAGAGTACTTCAGAGTTCCTGGTCCATCCAACAAAATCTGTGAATACACAGGTGCATTAGCTAGGGTTGAAAAAAAGAAAATGCAAAAAAAGATGACTATTGGCATATAAACTGAACCTTTCCTCTCATGTGGCTTAGTGTTTGTTTAAATAACAATGAGTAGCTATTTTATTTATATAGCACTTTTCTAACCTCAAGATTGCTTGTAGAAAAAAAACAAACAAACATAAGAAAAAAACAAAACAATACTTAAAAACAAACATCTTAAATAAAAGACAGATGCTTATACCTTTGCAGGTGTGAGATCCGAGACAACAATGCCAGAGTCGTGGATGTATTTAAGACCTTTCATCAAGTCGATGGAAAACTCTCGCACTACTTCCTCAGACAGGCACTCATCTTGAGCAACCAGCGCTGCCAGGGATCCACCTAGAAAAAAATGCAATTGCAACAAAGGCAAAACCAAACAAACTGATCAAAACATAAGCATTAAGCATAAGCATTTCAATACCTAAAAACTTAGTGCACAGATAAAAGTTTATTAAATTTTTAGGGATCTCACCAGTTTTACTTTGGTATCATTGGGATACTATGTTTTATTAATATTTAAATCATAATAATTATTATTATTATATTTTGTTTTCATTTTATTTTAAGCTTTAGCCATTTTTGTTTTTGTAAATATTATTTTTATTTAAAACAAAAAAATATTTTTTATTGATTGATTTTTTTTTTTACTATAATAATCCTGTTTCTCACCTGTGCACATCTCCACCACCAGCCACAAATGGTTGCTAGTCTCATACCATTCATAAAAAGACACCACATTGTCATGCTTAATGTCATGAGCAAGTCTCACCTGTGGAAATAATGTGACATTTGTCAAACACAAGAGTACAGTGTGAGGCAACCTCTTTGATGTGCATGAAATATATTGCTCAAAACAAACAGCTGAACAAATATTGCGTTTACACACATGGTTTGTGAGTTCAGGTCTCTTGGATTTGTCACTGCAGATGATAGCCACGAAATGTATGCTGCCTTTACTTCTGCCCTTATAAACCACCGATCTGTTACCTCTCCCGATCTCTTCATACAAAATAAAGTTCTCCATCTATGCAGTGATGAAAACATGGACATTAAAGCCAAAACAAAACACATGCCAGTTTTGAAATTCAGTTTTTAGATACATAAGAATCAAATAAACACACCTGCAGAGACTCGCGTGAGATCACAGGCAGTTTACTGCACTAACTACTAACAACTTCCTGACCATAAGCACACTACAAACGTTCAATATTTCAGACACGGAGCGATTAACAGCATATTTTAAACATTTCCCGGTTCTTTTGTAATATTTTAACAATATATGTGGGCTTAAATACGGCGTAATTGTCTTTTGCATAAGTTTCTTACGCGCGGTAGAAAACTGACAAACGGAAACACAATTAGAAGCGAAACCAACTCGCACGAGGGGAAGTCACCTCAGTCATAAAATCAAACCGTTTAAAATAGCAAGTTTGAATTTGAATTGAATTTTTACTTAAAACTGTATCCAAAATGTTAAATCTGCGTATATATAAAATACGCACATGCATTTTTCTCATCTGTTTTTAAGCATTGCAGTATTCCTACACCCCTACTATTGGACGGTCCCTCGTTGCTAGGATACGGAAGAGGACGCATTGTTAGGTTTAGGAATCGGAAACAGGTTCCACTGAGCATGCGCACCCGAATACTAACCTTATCCTGTTACACACACCTGCTTCTTTATTTTTATTGTTGGCATATACATTTTTGCTAAATGTTTAATATTATGTAACCATTAAACATTAGTCAAATTAGGTTTGACTGATATTGAATAAATTAGGAAATTGAGGAAGGAAATAGGATATTGAATTAAATGATGTATGAATTAGGATATTGAGGAAGGAACCTATGTGTGTGCAGTAGACTTAAATGTTCATTAATGATTTTCTAAAAGTTTGTTTGATTTTATTCTTTTGCATTTTATCTTGTTGTATTTTGCAGTTATTACTTCGTATTTATTTGCAGTTTTTACTGCGCTATGCAAAACAATCATACCAATAAACTAGCCTATTTTTAAAACTAACATTAAATGTACACTATTTGATCATAAAGAGAATGAATAAAAAGAGGGGAAAGGATGGGGAGTGGCGTGACGCTCAGAGAGAGGGTGAGAGAGAGAGAGTGTTCAGTTTAATGTTTGGGGCGGAGATCGTGTAGCGTGTGATACCGGCTTTTTGGATGAGATTCTGGGCATCATAACGTCCTTAGTATTGGGAAGAGCACATCTTCTTTATTCGTCCTTCTTGCGCCCAGAGCTTCGTTGAGGGGAATTACAGATGTTCAGATCTGCTAAAAACAGAGATATCAAACTGAACAGGATCGCTGTGCTACTTTTCATACAGCAGCAGGTCTATTGAAAGGGAGCCCGGGGATCACTGGCTTTGTTCTCGGATTATCACGAAATAATGTCAACTACGTCGTAAAAAGTTTGTCTGTTAAACAGCCTACCGAATAATTTGCTTTAACTAGCTGCTTTGGAAAAAAACAGGATTGTCTTCAACGACTTTAACGACTTTTCAAGTAAACCTGCATCCCATCTGGACTATTTATTTTTGCTTAAAGGACAACATTCATCTTATGGTAAGGTATCATACATCCTTATAGCTACACAAACACCCACATCGCCTTTGATAAATATGCTTAGCCGGTGCAAATGACCAACATTGTGTATTAAGGCTGCCTAATAGCCTACACCTCCTGGTTGTGTCCCAAAATCTAGTGAGCTGCCTACACTCTAAAAAATGCTGGGTTAAAAAGGGACAAACCCAGCTATTGGGTTGTTTTGACCCAGCTATTGGGTTGTTTTGACCCAGCTATTGGGTTGTTTTGACCCAGCTATTGGGTTGTTTTGACCCAGCTATTGGGTTGTTTTGACCCAGCTATTGGGTTGTTTTGACCCAGCTATTGGGTTGTTTTGACCCAGCGGTTGGGTTGTTTTGAACCCAACCGCTGGGTCAAAACAACCCAATAGCTGGGTTGGTCCCTTTTTAACCCAGCACTGGGTTATATTTAACCCAGCCTTTTTTAGAGTGTAGCTAGACAGCTGACCGGAACTTGCCTAATGATGGCCTAACGTGCTGCACGCGTTTTTGAAGCCGGCTTGTTTAAGGTTTTTGGCACATCCTTAAATTTAGATGCTGCTTTGCTGGTCCAGGACCAGCCTGGTTTGTTGGCTCGTTTTTGGGGGACTTTTAGGGCACCTTTCACCTTGGACAGGCTGGAAGACCATATTAAAGTCCCCCCCCCCAAAAAAAACTGTAGGCTGCCTTATTTTATTTATTAATTTATTTTATTTCCCTCTCAGTGGAGAAGCATTTATCCTATTACTTGACAAGCCAAACACTACCAACTTAAGCCAGCAACGTTTAATAAGCTCACAGTACAACCCAAGAATCCGATTACAAGAATCTAATTTCTTTCATACTTTTAAGATTTGATTTCGTTCATGTTACAGCAACCCATGGTGAAACTGAGACCATACTTGACCTTTCGAGTAAATGAGTGACAAGAAGCAATATCTGTCCTCCATTTGTCTATACTTGTAAGTTCTGGGTCCAAATTTGATGTTTTTTGAGAATAAATTGAGCCTCATCACATGCAAAACATGCACTTTTTCTAGGTAATGTAGTGGAGAAAATGACAGTGATACCCTATACAAGCAGATGGAAAAAAGTTCAAGACCCCTTGGTCCCACTATTTTGGTGATGATATCACACAAGTCATGTGCCCATCAAGAGGACAGGGTTACTACCCATGCAAAAATAAACATGATGAAACATAAGAGGTGAAACTTTGAGGTGAAAAGTTTATTTGCAGTCAGTGCAAGTCAGTGATCCAAAATCATCTGATGTCATATTGTATAAATTCCACTGATTTATAATGTTGACAACTGAATATAGTGAATACATAGTGTTCTGAGTCTGACTGCCATGTCTCATAAAACATCAAGTTATTTTCACAGCTGTATCCCAAAGGTCTGCTGATGTCAGATCAGATTTAATCTGTCACGCATGTACTAAACTTCAGAATATCAGTGTTTATGCTCCTGTGTGCTGTGTTGCACTGAGGATCGTGTAGAAACCTGAAGTGAAACAGAAAGTGCATGATTTCTAATCCTACAGACTACATCCTTGCCGAATTTCTTCATATTGCATAATAGCATCATATGCCTGAATATAAGAATGTCTCACTTTTGTTTCATAGTCGTATGAATCGCAGACAGCTGGGTCCTCCCTAGAGACCAAGAAAGCATATAAAGAGAGACATATGAGTGCACTCTTTCCTCCAGGGTTATTTGTTTCTGCATGTGATGAGCACGTGTGCTTGAGTTCATGCTGTAACAGCTGAGATGGTTTATTGCGCTCAGTCATATGTCCTCTCACATAGAGGTCAAGCTCTCTTTCGCTCACAATAACTATAGCTTTCTGGATGCTTGGATTTTTGAAAATTCGCACTTGAAAATATTAGATGACAAAAAAGAAGTGACTTGATCTTTTGACCTTTTTCGTAATCCTGGTGTGGGAATAGTTTCTTTGCTCTTGTCTTCTCTGACTTATTAGGTTGTTGTTGTTTTTAAACGATGATGGTATTGCTTTCATATTTTAAAGTGATTTTGAGTGACATGTACATTTGTAATGCACCAATATTCACATTCTTGTGATTCATATGCCAATAAATACTTTTTGACCAATAACAAATACATTTTAAATTTGACAATTTTCTGCTCTTTGGTATACATCTATTTAAAAATGATACACAAAATTTTTTTTTTAAATGCTACAAGTGAATTTAGTCATCACAACAATGTGAAAAATTGATATTCATTTTGAAGTTGGCTAGAAATTACATTTAACAGTGCTATTAAATATATA